GGGGGGGGGGGGAGTCTCCTGATTCTTAAAAAGGTGGAGGGAATCTGAGCATCTGTGGCATACATTATACTATATCGTTTTTTACTGAGGTAAAGTTCACATCACATAAATCCAACCGTTTTTAAGTGAACAATTCAGCGATTTAGTATGTTCACTAGGTTGTGCAATCACCACCTTTATATAGTTCTGAGACATTTTCGTTTCCCCAAACAGAAAACCTGTACCCATTAAACAGTTGTTTTTCACTCCCCTTTTCCACTTTCTAGCCCCTGTCTGGATTTTCCTATTCTGGATATTTCACATAGATGGAATCCTCCAATATGCAACCTTCTGTGTCTGGCTTCTTTTAATGAGCATAATGTTTTCAAGGTCTGTCCATATCGTAGCATGTATCACTACTTCATTTTTTAAATGGCTGAATAATATGCCATTGTACGGATAGACTACATTTTGTTATTCATTCGTCCTTTAATGAGCGTGTAGACTACCCTCCTCTTTTGGCCACTGTGAGTAGTGCTACTGTGAACATGCATGTATATGTGTTTGTTTCACTACCTGGCCAGAGTTCTTTTTAATATATACATAGGCATGGAATTATGGGGTCATATGATAATTCTTTGTGTTATGTTTTGAGAAACTGCAATTTTTTAAACTTTCTAACCGGAAAATTAAATACATAAACCAAATGATTCAATTACTTAAGCTCTCCCTTTGGTTTCTCAACACGCTTGGAAGAAAAACCAAGATTTAAGTCTAGCTTAGAAGGCACTCCGCTTGATCCATGGGCTCATCTTCTCTCCCTCAGCCTCATCTTTTACTACTGTTTCCTTCTCTCACTCACTCCATGTCTGATGGTCTGGGAGTCTCTGCCCTTAAGTCTCTCTCAGCCAGGAAAGCTCCTACACCTCAGATTTCCATGCAGCTGCCTTTGCCCTTCAGGACTCAGATCAAACATCTGTTCCTTAGTGAGAATTTCATCAGGAAAAACTGTGAAAGAGTTTTCTGAATATGTTAATTAGCTTCATTTAGTCTACCCACAGTGAATACATGTATCAAAACATCATGTTGTACACCATAAATATACAGAATTTTTATTCGTCAATTAATAATTAAGAAATTCTTGAATGTCTTTGCAGTGGAATGTTGGGCAGTGTCTAGCAGACCCTTCAGGAACTATTTATTTGGTTATCTCCGACTAGGCTATTTTATGACTCTGTAGATACAGAAGTTAACCTGTAGAGAACTGACAGTAATGCAGTTATTTTCTGTCCATAGCTAAGCAAACAATTACTGTTCATGGCAATGCAAATTATTTGTTACTTACAGCATATAAATACCTGTAGGTCAAATGCTCATTTGAACCATGTTAACATCTTATTGGTTCTCTCATTAGTTAATACGTTAAGTAAAATCTTTGACATGTGAAAAAAAAATTTCCAACTACGTAATCTAAAGTAACCCCATGTCCCTCACTCTCTTACTATCTTGTTTCCTTCTTAGCATTTACTACCTGCAACAATCCTAAACTTTTGTGGTTTTTAACTGTGGTAAGATATACATAAAATTGACCATCTTAACCATTTTTTTCTTTTTGGCAGCTGGATGGTACAGGGATTGAACCCTGGACCTTGGTGTTATCAGCGCCATGCTCTAACCTACTGAGCTAACTGGCTAGTCCTCATCTTAACCATTTTAAGTGTATAGTTCAATGTGTTAAATACATTCACGTTGCTGTGAAACCTTTACCACCACTCATCTCCAGAACTTTTAATCTTGTAAAACTCAAATTCCACATCCATTAAACACTAAATTCCCTATTTGCCCTTCCCTCAGCTCCTGGCAACCATCATTCTACTTTCCATCTCTATGAATTTTCTTATTGTGGGTACCTCATATAAGTGGAATCATACTTTTGGGTCTGGGCTTATTTCATTTAGCATAAAGTTTTCAAAATTCACCCATGTTGGGCATGTATCAGAATTTCATTCCTTTTCATGGCTGAATAATATTCCATTGCATATATGTAGCACATTTTGTTTATCCATTTATCCACTGATAGACATCTGGGTTGCTTCCATCTGTCAGCTATTATTGTGAACGATGCTGCCATGAATATGGGTATACAAATATCTCTTTGAGCTGTTACTTTCAATTCTTCTGGTCTATACCCAGAATGAAATTGCTGGATCATACAGCAATTCTGTTTTAAGTTTTTTGAGCGTAAGCCTTTGTATGTTATCTCTCCATCCTCCCCAACCAACTAAAAAGTAAGCTCCAGGGTACCAGGCACCTTTCCTCTATCTCCTATGTCCCTGTATCCCCAGCATCCAGCAACACACTCAGAACACAGTGAAATTCATTGATTGAATAAATACCTGGTCATCAAGCCATGATCTTAACTGCTGTCAGGAACTGCTTCTCTACCAACTAGCTTGCCTATAAGAGAAGCAAGTTTGTATCTCAAAAGACAATTGCTAGGGACTTACCCAATTATTTGTAGACTAGACTTGGGGTGTGCAAAGGCTGAACACAGCTTCACCATTCCTGCAGGACTGAAGTTATTCCGCACCAGATTTAGACTGGTCAGGTGCCGGTTGCAGGAGAGGGCCAATGAAAGCGTCTCACAGCAGTCAGAAGTTAATTCACATGCCTCCAACCTGTAGGGACAGACACCCAAGAAATAACCTCAAAGATCAATGATAGATCCTTCATTCAACCCATGTGAATTTTACCTGATGTTAGGGGGGAAAAAATAAAGAGTGTTGGGCTCCACCCCCAGAGTTTCTAGCTCAGTCGTTCTGGGGAGGGACCTGAATATTTGCATTTGTAACAAGTTCCCAGGTGATGGCACTGCTGTCGGTTCTCACTTTGAGAGCTGCTGGGTGACTCAAGTTATAGCTGTGGAAAAAATAAAACAAAGGCTGAGAGAGTCTGTAACAAGGGAATGTAACAAGGAACATGGAGAAAGACTTGCTGGGAAAGTGACATTGAACCAAAAACTGAAAACTGAGGAGTGAGCTATGTGAAGGGAAGATGTACTGATACACAGATATAAGAAACTGTACATACACCACCCTTGTGGGAAAAAGTGGGGCACATCTGAGAAACAGAAAGATGACTAGATGACCAGGGCAGTCAGAGATAGTATTAGAGGAAGCTGGACATGTTAGGTCATATTAAGGATTTAATACTAAGAATAATGGAAAGCCAAAGAACATCATTAAGCATAGTAATGGTGGTGGACAGTAGTGTTCTGGTATTTCCAGAGGTGCATGTTGAGGTCCAGATGGTCCCCAACTTACAATGTTTCAACTTAGACTTTTCAGCTTTGTGATGGTGTGAAAGAGATGCATAGTCAGTAGAAACCGTATTTCAAGCACCCGTATAACCATTCTGTTTTTCACTTTCAGTGCACTATGCAATAAGTTACACGACATATCCAACACGTTATTATAAAACAGGTTTTGTGTTAGATGATTTTGCTTAACTATAGGCTAATATAAGTGTTCTGAACCTGTTTAAGGTGGGCTAAGCTAAGCTATAATGTTTGATAGATTAGGTGTATTAAGTGTATTTTCAACATATGATAATCTCAGCTTCCAACAGGTTTATCTGGATACAACCCCACTGTAAATCAAGGAACATCTGTATTTTTAGAGATGCATGTTGAGGTATTTTGAGGTGGAATATCAAAATCCATAACTTTATGAAATAGTTCACCAGCTAGAGCAAAACACTGATGATTGTTTAAACTAGACGGTGAGTGTATACGTTTTGAATATCCTAATAATTCTAGATTTTGTGTATTTTGGAATTCTTATGATAGAGTAAAAAGTTTATGAGTGTAGCTCAAGTTGTTTTAGCCACTTATAGCTTGATGATGAAATGAGATTGAATGAAATCTTACTTTTTGGTTTTGCTAAAATATTATGCAAGTATTTATAAAGACAGAATATCCAGTTGAGAGGCTGAGGCAGAGGCAAGGGGGAGATAAATCATGCTATAAGCTGCTGCATGAACAGGTGATTGCATGATCCCCAACATGGATAAAATTAGCCTCTGGTTAACATGGGTGAAGTTAACTAATGTAGGGATGCTTCCTTCATTGCTACAGAAGGAAGGGCATGTCAGTGCAGATACTAGCCGGTCTCTTGGTAGGAAGTTTAGAGCCTTCCTATTAAATGGTTTTATATTTATTTGAGGGGAGTGGGGTCATTTATTAAGTGCCAGGGAGAACAAGGTAGGTCCAAAAGTTTCCAAAGAATGGAGATGGTTTGAAATCATTCTTTCAGGGAGTGGGGAAAACAAGTTAACCAGAAAAATGTAATACTGGCGAGACAGAAATTTACATCAGTCACTACTGACTACACATGATTATCAACTTACCCTTGTGTTTTTTTGTTTTTGTTTTTGTTTTTGATCCTGCAGTTCTCAGCTACCTAAGTGCAGGTGCTGGCAAATTGGACTCACTGAAGCTCGGAATATTTGCAGGTGGATACACCCAGTATAGAAGGCTGGAAACAACTAGTCTACTTTCTGTCTCTTTGGATTAGAATATTCTGAAACCACTAGTCTACTTTCTATCTCTTTGGATGAGAATACATCTTATACAAACAGAATTACACCCCATGTGACATTTTGTGTCTGGCTTTTCACTTAGCGTAATGTTTTCAAGGCTCATCCATGTTGTAGCACATATCAGTGCTTCATTCGTTTTTACAGCTGAACCATATTCCTCCGTATTGAAGCACTCTGCTTTAACAAGTCCATGGGTGATTCTGATGCTCGTTTCGAGAACCACTAGTGTAATCACTTGCTTTTTGTTCACCTTTCTCACTAGATCATATATGCCCCCATGCCAAGGTCTTATTCACTTCCATACTTCTACCATTTAGCACCATGCCTAGCCCGCAGAGGTTGTTCAGTGAATATTTGAGGGCTTTCTTTTTTTTTTTTTTTTTTTTTTAAAGATGACCGGAAAGGCGATCTCAACCCTTGACTTGGTGTTGTCAGCACCACGCTCACCCAGTGAGCCAACCGGGCATCCCTATATGGGATCCAAACCCGGGGCCTTGGTGTTATCAGCACCGCACTCTCCCGAGTGAGCCACAGGCCGGCCCATTTGAGGGCTTTCTACCTTTAGACCTTGTTCTCAAGCATTTTCTGTTTCATTCACCTCATACATAGATGCTGAGTTGGAATTTATAGCCAGATCTGTTATTCTACCAAGACTCTATTTTGTCTAACTTGATAGAGAGTCATGAAAACCAGAACATCCTCCTTGTTGAAGCAATTTCATGCTTGGGTCCCCCTTCCTCTGAGCCTGGCCCTCAAAGAGGTGATCCCAGGAAGTTACCCGAGTCTCCTCAGAGAACTTTTCCTTTGCTTCAATCCCTCACACAACTCTGCAACCCCACTGTCACCCAGGGCATTGGCGGTGAGATCCAAGCTCTTCAGGTGTTTGCTTTTGGCAATCACACAGGACAGACTCTCACAACAAGCAGCAGTGAGATGACACTTCACCAATCTGCAAGAGACCCAGGAGAATAAATTTATATCTTTTGAGGAAAGTATTACAGTGGGATAATATTCAAAAAATGTTAATGAGAATTTCGTTTTCTTCCTAACTGGTCACCTTTCTGCCCATTCCCGTAAACGGCTTAGACTAGGTGGCATCCATTGGCTCAGGAGAGGGAAGATAGTGAAGGGTGGGGAAATGCTGGATGTAGCTCAAGGTTTTTTTGGAAAAAGAAATGAGCACATCAGAGCTTGCTCCACACCTGGAGATGGGGTCAAGAATTTCCGTGGCGGGGAGGGAAAGACAAACAGAAAAAGCACAAATGGGTAGCAGTTGGTAGATCCCTCGAGAGGCAGAGAAAATGTGACAGAAGTTACTGAAACGCTAATAGTGTCTGGGATCCAAAAAGGAAGGGGTCTTGTGCTGCTTTTCCCAGGCAGAACAGGGGAAGTTGAAGGTAGAAATGGTCCCCAACATAATAGCTAAATGTGGCTGAAACAGCTTCAGAGTTCCATATCTTTAAGTAAACTAAAACTCCCATTGGCGCTGAGGAGTCCATCCTCAGGAGGCATTCGGGTGGAGAGTGAGAAAGGACTCAGTTGCAAGGATTGACACCTGAAGGTATGGTGGAGATGACAAAGTCTTAGATAAATGCATAGATGATAAGGACCATATATTCTCCTTGCACTTAAATGCAATTCCAAAGAAACATCTCCAGTTGACAGAGATTAAATTTCACACAATGCAGAAGTAGGGCTTGAAATGCCAATTGAAAGAAATAGAGGAATAATACTCAGGGGCACTCAGAAGCTTGTGAACTATGATCTATGCTTTATTTTGTTATAGGGAAGGGAGAGATCTCCAAATGGCCCCAATTTTAGGTCCCTTAATTCTAACTTTGTAATTGACAAGAAAATGCTACCAAGTATACAATGATGTATAAGGTACTCATGACCAAAACACTAGACATAAGTGGAGTGCCGAGCTTTAGAGAATTTAAGTTACCATACACCATGAAATGAAATACTGTACCATGCTTTGTTTACTCTTATGATCTACATATCCTCAAGGACAGAACATGACACCAACACCAAGATTTTGGGTTGTTGGGATTCTAGTTCCCCACTGGATATAATTGGTGGTGGTGGTAGAACTACATGAGATTAGACATACAAAATATTTAGAGTCCTGTGCTTGCCACATGGTAAGAATGCATTAAGTACTGACTACTAGGATACCTTTTTTGTAAAACATTAAATGCACTTATGCATCTAGGAAAAAGAGTCCCAGGAGACATTCACCAACATACTAACAGTAGTGACAGCTTAATTGTGAGAGACATATTTCTGCTCACTGAGATTTTTTTAAGTTTTCCACAGTCTGTTTAGTGATGGAATACCCCTATTAAATAGAAACACTTCAACATGGGGAGGAGAAATTTGAGCCCCAGATGAAAAGAGATCAAGTGATTTATAAGCATTCCCTTCCCCACACACAGATGAATAGCTGAAGATTACGTTAGGGCAAGAAGAGCTCCTCTGAGGAGTGAAGAGATTTTAACAATCACGGGTGACTCAGAATTTATAGTTCCTGCCATGGGGCTCTTAGTAATTTCTCTGCTCTTCCCACACTCATTATGGTGTCGACACACCGACTTACCAAGAGTACCCACTGGAAAAACAAGCATCAGGTGACCCTCAAACTAATTTTTGGTTCCAGTCTCCCCGTTCATATATTTCTTGAATTTCTAGGAACCCCAGACCCCAATACAATAGGGTTGATCCCAAACAACTATGAGAAACTTACTCTAGGTCCTGGAGCTGACAAGATGGGTCCCTCATGACCTCGCAGAGAAGTTTCATCCCACTGTCTTCCAAGGGGTTCATGCTAAGGCTCAGATGTGTCAGACGTGTGTTACCCATGAGTGCAAGAGCAAGAAAACCACAGCCCGGTACGTCGAGGTTGCACTGGTTTAGCCTGTGACAAGCACACAAGGGAAAGAGGAAGGTCAAACTTGTTCCTTGGTGTGACCTTGGGTCAGCTACTACTTTCTCTCCGTCTCAGTTTTATCCTCTGTAGGAAGGAGGTCATATTCGTATTTAAGATGGTTGTTAGGCTTAAATGACAGAATGATCATAAAATACTTGGCGCAGTGACTGGCATAATGCACTTGCTCGATGCTATTCAAGATTTTCTGAACTTTTCTTTATATTCACCGTATGTTTCCTATGGCTGCTATAACAAATGATCACAAAATTAGTTACATAAAACACAAATATATTATTTTACAGTTCCGGAGGTCAGAAATCTAACACAAGTCTCACTGGTCCAAAAATCAAGGTATCAGCAGGGCTGTATTTCTTCTGGAGGCTCTAGGGGAGAATCTGCTTCCCTGCCTTTTTCATCTTCTAGAGGCTACCCACGTCCCTTAGCTCCTGCCCTCTGTCCCCGCAGCCTGCAATGGCATCACTCTGACCTTCCTTTTCACATCTCCTGCTCCAATCCTCCTCTGTTTTTTTTTTTCCCTTATAAGGACTTTTATGACGACACTGGGGTCACCCAGATAATCCACCCAGGATAATCTCCCCATCTCAAGATCCTTAATTAAATCTACAAAGTCTTTTTCGCCATATAAGGTCACACATTCACAGGTTCCAGGGATTGGGATGTGGACAGCTTTTGTCATGGGGGGGCCCTATACTACCCACCATGTTCAGTATCTCCCCATAACTCATTCACTTGGGAACCTTGTTATAGCCTTTAACAGAATATCTGTTACATTAAGGTTATAGTCTCTAACTGAATTTCTGGCTACAGGTATACCACTAATGCACATAATTTTTTGTTTATATGAAGTTGTTGTTAGACTAACAGGTTAATGGGGATGGATGGCAGAAAGCAAAGTAACCCTAAGGCAGAGTAAGCTTATGGTATTGAACAGGAGTAATAAAAATTTCTCATTCTCACTGTCAAACCAAAAATTTATGATAGAAGAGTAATTTGGCAACACAAGAAATCAGTTTTTTTTTTTTCCTTTGTCTTTTTTCGTGACCGGCAACGGATCGCAACCCTCAGTGTTGCACCCGCACCTCGCTTTGCCAGTGAGTGGCCGGTCTGTATGTGGGATCCAAACCCGCGGCGGGAGCGCCACTGTGCTCCCAAGCGGCGCACTGTAGCAGTGCGCCACCGGGCCGGCCCCGAAATTAGTTTTTAAAATGGTTATGTGGACACCTTGTGCTCCTTGGAGTCATGCAACACACAGTCTGTATGACTGTGGCTGTACGTCACTCTTACCTCCACCTGAAAATCTCATTCTCTCTCTCAGACCAGAATTTATGCTATGTAAAAATAGGGACCACATCCACGGTTTGTCTCTATATCACTAGTAACTAAGAGTGTTTACTTAATAAATACAATTGATCCTCATTATTTATGGATTCTGTACATATACAATTTCCTACTTACTAAAATTTATTCGTAATACCAAAAATCAATACTAATGGCACTCACGGTCTTTCTTGGCCATGCATGTGTACAGAGTAGAGAAAAATTTGAGTTGCCAGTGCTACATATTTTTCCCAGTTGAGGTTGAAATTGTCTGAGCTCTTACACTGTAAACAAGTACATTTAGGTATATTTAGTGCCATGTTTGTCAAATTTCTTTGCTTTTTGTTGGTGATTTTGTAGTTTAAGATTGCCCCCAAGATTAGTGTGACAGTGCTTTCTAGTGTTCCTAAGCATGAAGAGATTGTAATGTTTCTTACATATGTTAGATAAGCTTTGTTCAGGCATGGGTTACAGCACTGTTGGTCACAAGTTCAATGTTAATGTACCAACATGTATTAAATAAAGTGTCATTAAATAGAAACATGCAAAACAAGGTTAAGTATTGATCAGTTGATGAAAATATGACTGGAGGCTCATAGGAAGTTAACCCTGTATCTTCCTGCTATGATTTGAATGTCTCCTCCAAAACTCACATTGAAACTTAATCCTTAACGTGGCAGTATTGAGAGGTGAGGACTTTATGAAGTTATTGGGTCATAATCCATGAATGGATTAATCAGTTCACGGATTAATAGGTTATCACAGGAGTAGAACTGGTGGTTTAATAAGAGGAGGAGTGAGCCCGTGAACTCGCTCTTTTCCTTGTTGCCATGTGATGCTCTGCACCACCTCAGGACTCTGCAGAGTCCCACCAGCAAGAAGTCCCTTGCCAGATGCACACCCCTGACCTAGGACTTCCCAGCCTCTAGAACTATAAGAAATAAGCCTTACATCTCTTTTCTTTATCAATTACCCAGTTTTAAGTATTCTGTTATAAGCAACAGAAAAAGAACAAAGACACTCCCCACTACCCCTAGGGGCAATGACTCAGTATTGGCTAAATCAGTGTTCAAGGGTGACTTTGTAGAACACATGACCTCAAATTATGACAATCGACTGTATTTGAATAAATGATGGCTTCCTGCTGTAAGAAAACACAAAAGCAGAGGTAGAATTTTTCAAGGAAGAGTGAAATCCAGGAGATAATTAATAGGGATAAGATATATCAATCCCTTTATTGTAAAATTTCCATGCTTCCTTACTGCTTTGTGCTTTGAGAGCTACAACACACTATTTGTTAGAAAACTATGAAGTCCTCACAGGGAGGCGAGTCAGACTCACATCAGCCTCTGTAGACTACAGTTGGGAAGTTTTATGGATCGACACAACAGATTCACTCCTTCATTCCCCAGGTTGTTGTTTGATAGGCACAGGTGTGTCAAGCTCTGGTTGCTGACGAGGGCTGAGGCCAGAACCTGGCAGCCAACAGCTGTGAGACCACAGTTCTCCAGTCTGCAAAAAGAGAGCAACCAGAAAGGAAATGAGGTATATTCTTAAATTTTCATCTCTCCTTCCTAAGAAAAGGAAAGAAACAGCACTCCCATAGTTGACACGTCCTTGCAGATATAATAAATAATATTACATCATGTCTGCCTTTAGCTTGCAAACAATTCCAGTGCTTCAGCCCCCAAATAATACTCTAAATATCATGGGTGACTGGATCTCCCATCAATGACAATGGGAAACTAATGGGCAACATGAATCTGCTCTCAGCTTGGCTATTTTCAGTCTTCATGTATCCTATGGTGTAAGGCCTTGCTAAAGTGAGTGATTTTCCTATTTACAACTACAACATTTAACGCATCATAAACCTTAGACATAAACTAGATACTCCATCTGTTTTTCAAAGCTGAAGAAGCATTTTATGTGGCTTTGAGATGATTCAAAACTCGTACATAGTTCGCTACATGAGTGACATGTTTTGCTGAGACAAGAACTTGGAGTGTGCTCTCCCCTTCCCTCAAGAATGTGACATCAGCCTAATCAGACTCCAGACATCTTACTTTTTGTCGTGATGGAATGTTCTAGATCTACTCTGTCCAATATGGTAGCCACATGGCTATTGAGCACTCAGCACGTGGCTAATGCAATGGAGAAAATAGTTATAATTTTATGCATTTTTCCTTCTTTTATATCTAAATAGTCACATGTGGCTGGCAGCTCCTTTACTAGATAGGGCAGGAGACCACATTCAATGAGATGTAAACTGAAAGCCCAGCACCAAAAAGGGCTCAGAGTTATATTTTGTTTGGACCCCAAAGTATTTTTTAAAAGTGTTTGAGTTACTAGGAAATATTTAATAAGGCAGAAAATTTACACACAAAAATCAAATTTTGAGGTACACTTGAAAAAGAAAGCCTCGAGGTATGGCAATAGTTTGCTAGAATCAAGAATTCCAGTATCTGCCTTCCTCGGAACACTTCCAACTAATCTAACTCCTCTGATATTGGGCCAAAATTAAAAATCACCTAGAGATGCATTGTCCAAAATGGTAGCAACTGGCCACATGTGGCTATTGAGCACTTGGGATGTGTTAGTATGATTGAGAAACTGGATTTTTTTTTTAGTTGTAATTACGTATTTTATCTCCATTTTATCAGAGAAGAAACTGAGCACAGAGAAACTTAAGTGTCACATATATAGTAAGAAGTAGATCCATGGCTACAAACCAAGTCCTCATTAAAATTCATGTTTTCCCCACCACATGGAAATGATTAAATGTGAATTAGTATTTTGTCTTACTTTAGCCTGGGATTTTATGTTCAGTTTAAATTTAGAGAGCCACGCACAGCTAGTGGCTACCATATTGGATGGCACAGCTCTGGAGAATCCGCTGCTTCACCACTTGATAATGGTCCAACCGTGGATGAGTGATTTAGCCTTTCTGAAACTCTGAATTCTCATCTATCAATAGGGTTAACAACAGCACCAACTCCATAGATGTGTTTTGAGAACTAAGTGAGATAGGCATAGAAAAGTTTTAGCACTGTACTTGGTGCAGCTCAATAAGTGATAAATGATTGCTGTTAGTTCCTCCTTCCCCTCTCCCTCCATAGGGTAAGTGATATCCTTTTGTACAAAATATTACAGAGGTAGGAAGAATGTTCTATAGTAATATAGGGAGACTACAGCCAACCACAAAGTACCGTGTGTCTTTGAATAGCTAGTTGAGATGATGTTGAATATTCCTAACACAAAGCAGTGACAAATGTTTGAGGTGATGGACATACTAAGCACCCTGATATGATCACTACACACAGTACAAATGTACCCAAATATCATATTGCACTCCATAAATATATACAATTGTCAGGGGTCAATTAAGAAAAATAAAAAGAGGAGAAGAAAGAGTGGAATAGTGGTTATCAGAGGCAGGGAAAGGAAAGGGGGGGAGGGGAGGCCTGGGAAAGGTTGGAAGACTGGTACAAAGTTACAAAGTTACATTTGGATAGGAAGAATAAGTTCTGGTGCCCTAGGGTGACAACAGCTAATAATATTGTATTGTATATTTCAAGATAGCCAGAAAAGAGGATCTTGAATGCTATAACCACAAAAAAGAAATAACTGTTTAGGTAATAGATATGCCAACTATTCTGATTAGATCAATATACAATATATGAAGGTATTAAAACAAACCATACCCCATGAACATATGCAATGAAAAAAGAAAAGTGATATCCTTTTGGACCATTAGGCATTCACAGCAGTTC